CCCATCAGTAAAACAATTCAAATGTCACCTGCAACCCTGCATGAAGATAAAGAGAATCAAATGAGAGGATGGGAGACACAGCTCTCTGCACAGTTTTGGGCACCACACAGATAGCTGAGATTAACATTCCTGGTCTCTAATTCAGGAAGCACCTACTACGGACCTGTGCTAGGTCCTCAGTTTTCAGAGATGAGAAAGCAAGGCCTTTTCCCTGGAGAAACTCATGGCATAGCAGAGGAAGCAGATGAACAAAAAAAAGGGTTGCAGCATAGTGGGGTAAGCAAGGCTGCAGGTAGTAGTTAAACGCACAGCAGAGGGAGACCAGCAATGCTCCCTGAGTTGGAGGCCAGGGAAAGGCTTCATTAGGGACTAAGAAGAATTGCAACAACCAGAGGAGAAGACGCTGTCCAAGACAGAAGTACTAGTATGAGCAAAGGAAAGGAAGCAAGAGCAGAGATCTGCAAGGTCATGGGATTGGAGCCATGTGGTTGGATTGGGGCTGGCTGGTGCCTGCCATCTATGCTGTGCTCTTTCTCTGTGATCCAGAGATGGGGTTGACCCTGGGAAGTGGCATGGTTGAATCTGCTTGAGAGATGATCACTTTTGGCAGTGAGATGAAGGCTGGCTTACAGAAATGCCAGTTGAGCTCAGAGGTCTATCAGGATGCTGTTCCTATAGTTCAGCTGGAGAGTGATGTGACCTCAAGGAGGACAGAAGCTGGGGAGATGGACAGGGGACTGTGGGCGTCAAGAGATATTTAAGAGGCAAAATCATCAGGACTTGGTGATCAGCTGAGAAATATAGAAGATGAGAAAGGTTTAGGAGTCTCAACTGACTTGGACATCCAGCTCTGATGGCCGGATGGCCAGTGGGGCTCTTCTTCAAGCTGCAGAGGTAAAGGAGGAAAAACAAGTTTCAATGTGGACATTTGGAGTGTCACAGGTCTTCATAACACAAGAGGGGATGACAATGAGGGAGCTGCAAAATGTGAGTCTGGAGAAGGGCTAGAGATAGCAGCCACCTGGGCATAAGTCATTCAAACATCACCACCACTATCATCACCACCATCATCACCATCACCACCATCATAATCACCACCACCACCTTCACGACCATCAGCTCCACCATCATCACCATCACCATCATAATCACCAGCACCACCTTCACGACCATCAACTCTGTCACCATCACCACCACCACCTTCATGACCACCTTCATGACCATCAGCTCCACCATCATCACCATCAGCATCACTGCCATCATTATCACTGCCATCACCCTCATCATGACCATCAACCCCACCATCAGTGTCACCCTTACCACTACATCATCACCACCATCACTGTCACCCCACCCCTACCATCCTGATCTTTGAAGATTAGTTCCATTACCCCATCTTCCCAATTATTATCTCTTCCAGGAGGAATCACAGGGGCCCATGCCTGCCTGTGGCAGATGTTCAAAAACTATGAATTTTATAGTCAACCAGTGACAAGTGGACATTAGTGTCAGAAAAACAGAGTCGTTGGCTCCTTGCCCACCTCATCCAGCCTGCCCAGAGTGTCATTTGAGGGGTTTGTGCATTTACCCTCAGCCAAGCCCTGTGTCTGCAGAGACTGGAACCTGCCATCAACTCAGCCACATAATTGGGCCAGGGCCCACCTTCTCAGAGTGGCAAGATGATTGTGCTTCCCCTTCCTGTTTTGATCAGTTGGTACCCAGAAGTCTCCCACTCTGCTGTCCCTCACCACACTGTTTGCCCCCTTGGTGTTCTGAACTTGCATCCCCCAGAGAAACCCTCCTTTCTCAACTTCCCACCATCCCTGCCCTGGTCTTCAGATATCCTGCAGCATAATCTTCTGCTCCCCTCTAGCTTCATCTGGGACATGGCTGTTCACTGAGGCTACCTCCTCTCACTATGCAAGGCACCTCAGCAGATGTGTTTGTATACGAGCTCCTGGGTTCTTCTGAAGATTCTCCTAGATGCCCCTAGCCAGAATCATACTTCATTTTCTCATAGAAGCATCTTCTCACTACTCTTTTGGAGTTACTCATCAACATGCCCTAGGTGCGTGACCCTGGGAAAGCCACTGACTTCTCGAGTCGCACCTTCTTCATCCATAAAACGGGAATAATACCTTCTCCTTTTTAGGGCTGTCATCAACCGCGATGACATAGCCAAGGTAAGTCAACTGGGACCTTGAGTGATACATCCTAAGTGTTAGATACATTTTCATTGTCTGTTTATTTCCCTAACCCACAGCCTATCACCTCCAGGTTTCATTTTTCTTATGATTATTTATGGTCTTGTCCAATCTATCCTTATTGGGCACTACATAAGAGCAGAGCGTGCCTCCTCTATGCTTTCAAATCTCCCATAGCTCCGTGCCCGTGATAGGTGCTCCATAAATGTTGGCGAAATGACTGGATTGATTCAGCGGCTGTCCAGCAGGTGCACATCCTTTCTCGTTTGTGAGTTAAACTTAAAGAAACAAGACCCCTTTGCATATTCTCCATCCAAATGACACCAGCGTGGGGGATATCTGCACCCAGCTACTGGATAATTATGCAGATCTAGCTGAGCTGGCCGGATTGTCAATGGTGTCAATGACTCAGACAATGAGCTGTTTCCCCTGGGCCCATAAATGGGTCTGCACTAATCAAGGGAGGCATCCCAGAGAAGCTGAGATGAGACCAGTTGTCCTCCTGCAGCTCGTACACTAGAATCACTTCGGGGCTTTACAGATCCAATGTCTACAGGCCACACCCAGGCCAAATAAATAAAGATCTCTTCGGGTGGGAGCCAGACATGAGCAATTTTTATAGCTCCCAGGTGACTCCTGCAGCTGAGTTTGAAAATCTCTCAGAGGCTGGTTTTGCAAGACTGAGGAAGGGGAGGGGCCTGCCCCTGTTGGCCCTGGAGGGGTGAGGCAGATGCCCCCGGGTGTCCCTCCCCTTCTCACCCCTGTGGCCCATGTTCTCCTTTACTGTTTCTTTTTTTTTCACTCACCTCCAGTTCACTTTCCCTACTGACGAGACGGAACATCCTTCCAGCGCCTGCATTAATAACACCGTGTCTCCCTGGGGAGATGAGGAGCCTCTCTGTGTTCAGAGCCCCCTCGCTCATCAAAGGCCGAGGGCGCAGGGAGGGGACAGGCGGGATTTACACGGGTAACTCCAATTAAGACAAATGTCAGCTCCCTCTCCACAGGCTGCTGGGGCTCGAGCCCAGCCGTGTAGCAGGGGCTCCGTGCGGGAGAGCAAGACCGTTTTGCTGTAACTGTCAGGCTCTGACAGAAGCAGCCAGAAGGAAGCAAAAGGAGAGCATGAGCAGGAGGTCAGTCCTGGTGCAGAGACCGTGCTGGGAGGCGGCTCACAGATACCACCTCCCTACATGGTCCATCCATCAGGGCGCCGCTTTGGAGACACAGTAGGGCTGCAGACTTCTCCTTGGGCTGACACTTAGAAGCCTGCTCCAAGGCCCCCCAGGATTGACTGTTTGTTTCTCTGAGGCTGCTACAGACCCCCACCCCCAACACTGGAGGGACAAGCCCATCCAATGCAAAGTGCAGTCACCTGGGGGATTGCTAGAAATGCAGAGTCTCAGGCCCAGCCAGTCCTCCTGGCTGAGAACCTGCGAGTTAACAAGACTCCCAGCAACTGGGACATGCAGTAAATGTTGTGAATCTAGACTCCAGGGTAAGACAAAGCTGAGCATAATGAGGACAAGGAGATGCTGTGCGGTCAGGGGGGGCTCCAGGCCTGACTCTACCCAGGATCACCTTGGCCAGGTCATTTTGGCACCCAGTTTCCCAGTCTGTACAATGGGGACAAGGATGCCTCCATGGGGGATGAACAACTCATTGAAATGTAGGTTATTATAGAGATGGAGATACAAAAAAGTAGCGAGCGTGTATTAGGCACGTAAGACATTCCTGGCCTGTGCGAATGGATTACAGAAACTGCTCACCTTTCCAATTTCACCCAAGCCGTGTTATTACCCCCAGGTACAAATGGGGGAAATGGTGGCCCAGGAAGGTAAAACAAATAGTGGACCTAAGTTATAGAGACAGTAAAGGCTGGAATACATTGCAACCCATATATGCTCAGAGCATCATGCATTCGCAGCACCCCCCGCACCCCTGCTTTCCCAAAGGCAAAGAAGGCTTTCCTCTCCTGGGCATCACTGGGTTGCTTCGAAATCATAGGGGTCCCCCTGAATTCACTTATTACCAGTCAGAGAGCTCGGTCCCAAGCTCTGTGAGATCCCCCAGAGCCTTGATCCTGATCACAGCACTCACATGAGTGATGGGCGGGATGCTGTGTCCTGTCTTGGCTTCCTTTCTTTCTCACAGAACTTTTTGGGTCCAAAGAGAATAACAGTGTGAGTTCTCTGAAAGCTACAGAAACAAAGCCATGGTTACAGTGGACCTTAGAGTCGAGAGACCAGGGTTCAAATTCTAATTCCGCTATTTCTTCTGGCCCCAGGCAATTCACTAGATCTCCGCAGGCCTCAGTTTACTCCTCTGTAAAACGGAACTAATAAAACCCGGCTTCCTAACTTTGTTGAAAAAATAACCTATGGTTTGTTCAGAAGCTCTGGTACAATGTCTGGCACCTAGTAGGCACTCAACAAGGGGAAACACCTCCTCTTTGTCATCATCAGGGACAGCAGCAAACTCTTTCCTACAAGGGAACCCTCTGGGTAAAAATAAAAATGTTCTGGTACCAGGGATATCAAAGAGGGATCAGCTTGAGCACATGGAGCCAGCAGGCTGTCCTGGGGCTGGGGCGCTCAGCCAGGTTCCCATGGCCATGTCTGGGTGGGGAGTGGGCATGGGGCTTCAGAAAGCCTTATGACCAGGGGCCAGCTGGTTGGCACAATACCAGAAAGCTGCTGAATTATCTGGAGAAACAGAAATTGTTGGGCTTTTATTTAAACCACTTGTGATAGGAAGTCCTTCTAGAGTTTTGCTTTCACTTTTCTCTGCAACCTTGAATCGAATGCCCTGACCCTTTCCGTGGGGACTTGCAGTCACACCTAGGAGCTATGCTGTATGCACTGTGTTGGGATCCAGGATGCCCTCGGGAGCCCTGGACTGAGTGTAGAGCCCCGCACGATCCCAAGTGGCCAGTAACGGATCGACACCCGCTCTGCCCTTGCTGTGCCGACAGTGAGGGCTCCTGTTAAAATGGAAACATCTGAGCAAGAAACACAGTAAGACATCATGGTCCCTGACCTTCAAGTGAGAATTGATTTCTTGGATGAACAGCAGCTATTTTGGCAAGTCCCCAAGGTGGGAGTGGTCTCAGTCTGAGAAGCAATGGTGGGGCGGGGGAAGGACAGGACTTGGCTTTGGGACTGTGTCAGGTGCAGACAGGCAAGGACTCAGACCATCCCTGTGGATTTGGTAGTTTGGGAGGCGCCACGGTCAGAGGGGCTGAGGGGTAAACTCCCCTTGTCATCACTTCGAACACTCCAGGATCCAGGGGCAAGAAAGGAGAGTGAGCAAAGTGGGTACATAGAGCAAAAGCTTCAATGCTGATTGATGGAGGGCCATGAGTCCCTGCTTCCCCCAAGATAACATCCCTGTTGCTCAGCCTTGTACCTGAGGCCCCTTCTCGCTCTCTATGGCAGCCTGTATCTCTGTCTCTATTTTTATCTACACAAATAGCCTTTTTATGCCAACAGTTCGTATGAAGACATGGGAAGCATGTGCATCCAGTCTGCAGATGACTCAACGCTGGAGGGGATGGGAGAATTAAGGTTCAAGATGAGCTCGACAGTCGAGAATGCTGGGTCAAAAGCAACCAGATGAAATTTAACATCAATAAATCTAACGTCTTGAATGCCGTTTCCAAAAATCAATTGCACAAGAACAGGATGAGGGAGACCTGGCCTGACTGCAACTCACATAAAAAAGATCAGGAGGTTTTAGTCGGCCTTGAGTTCAACATGAGCCAGCAGAGCAGGGAGGGAGAAGGGAACGTGCAACGACATCCCAGTGTTTCTGCTGAGTTAACCCTTGGTGATGGGGGTGTAGGGGTTGGGGGGATGCTGAGTGGCTGTGTCTGAGAGCGGGCAGTGACAAGACTGCACACTTCACCAAGGACTCAGGACACAGAGGGTCAGACTGGCATGCCCAAGTTCACACAGCCAGTGGGGGCCATGCCCTTGACCGCTCCACTCTGCTGCCTCTCTGTTAGACAACACCTTGTCTGCTTTCTCTTCCCCATTTTACAGATGAGGAGACAGGACCGGAAGCGTGAGCACGATCTGTCCACAGTCGCCCAGTGTGTGAAATGCAGACTCACCCCTTCTGGGAGTCTCTGTTCAGGACTCCCTTCCTCCACCCCTCCACCATGCTGGGCGGCTGCCAGCCCAGCAGGGCGGCTGAAGGCTTACCCTTAAGGAACCAGAGGCCGTGTTAGATTTTGATGGCACTTAGCCCACAAGGGGCTCCACCCCACTCTGCCAATCAGACAGGCTAATGCACAAGACTTTCCTTTTTCTTTGCCCCCGGAGTCCCATTCGAGGTTAACAGTGACCATGCCTAATTGAACTGCGGCGGGATATTTACACTGTAGAGAGCAGGAGACCCGCTACCAGTGTCCCCGTTTGTGTTTTTTAAAAACTTGTCTCCCAGTGCCACTGCTCAGGGCCAGACCTCAGGCCTCGACTTCTTTCTCATCTGCCACGCTTCACCAGGCTTTCACATTCAATGAGACATAAGCTGAGTGTCTGATGTGGGCCGGGCACACGACTGGGTCTTTCGCATAGATCATCTCAGCTACACTTCGAGACAATGCCACCAGGGAAGTTATGAATCTCCTCGTCTCACAACGAGGAAACTGGCTTCATAGGGTGAGCAACCAGACCACTTTGCCTGGGACTAAAGGGTCTCCCGGGACACGGAAACTGGCATTTCAAACCAGGCCGGTCTTGTACAAACAGGGACAGGTGGGCCACCGTAGGCTTATAGAAGTCAACTAACTTGCCCAAAGTCCCCAGTTATCGAGGGGCTGTGCAAAGATTTAAAATCACGTTTCCCTGATACTGCACACATCTTGGTGGAAATAAACACAAATCAAGAGTCCATCAGCTCTGGCCAGTTCTCATCCTTCTGCTTCAGACTCTTGGAAGACTTGCTTCACTTATTTCCTTATTTTCAGTTCTGTGTCAGAAACCCAAGTTCCTGCATACATGAAACAAGGAGAGGAGTACCTACTTCCCAGGGTTGTTCTGGGCATCAAGTGTTTACAAAGAATAAGGAACAGTGCCCAATGTGGCAGGAGTTCAAGAAAACTGCATTCCTTCCCTTTTACCTTGATTCCACTGCCTGGTAAGCTATGCTGAGTTTTAAGAATGACAAAGGAGTGGGGCGGGGCTCCAATGAGAGTAAGAAACTCAGCCGTCCGGCCGTGATAGATTTGGGGGGTCACATCTGAAGATGGGCATCAATCAACAAAGGTATATGGTTGTAATGAAGGGAGTGACCCCGGCAGTGAGGGTCCCACAAGGGAGGTCCCTCAAGCAATGAATGAAGGAACCAAGGAAGAAGAGACAGTGGAAGACAGACAGGGAGGCTGACCCCCAGACTTCTAAAGGCTGTCATGGATAGTAAGATATTCCAGTCTCGAGGCCCGTGCAGGACCAGGAGTAAAGTGACTGGGAGGCAATTCTGGCTGGCTGTCAGAACTTTGCGATGAGCAGATCAATGGAAGAAGCTTTCTCAGAGGGTGATGGCCTTCCTTCCCATCGCTGGAGGCATGCAAGGAGAGCCTGAGTGACCATCTGGCAGGGGATTCTGCAAAGAGCATCCCCCCGTCCATGGGATGCTGGGCTAGACGAGACCTCAGCTGTCTCCCAACCCTGGGACCCTCCAGCAGACACTGGCTCTCTTCCTTACAACTATAAATATTTGCACATTCCCAAGTTATAAAGTGGAGCTCTTGGCTTACAAAGGTCAGGACGAAAGGCTTGTTTGGGGAACAGTTTGCTTAGTGTTTCTTTAGGCTGGGTTTCCAAGACTGCTTGTCATCTGTGTTTGGAGTGGACACAAGCTGCAGGATTTTTTTTTTTTCCTGGTGAGGAGAGAGTTGTTCAGTAGGAAGGGATGAAAATGGAGAACATTCAAGAATGCAGAAGCAAACCTGAAAGGCAAGAACCCTTCTCTGTGGCTGCGGTGGTATGTCAGATCAGCAGACAGGCTCCCGTCCCTCCCCTCCCAGTGTAGGTTCAGCATTGGGGTCTTTTGCCCCAGTGCGGAGGGCTTTCTGGGGGGAGCTGGAGAAGTTACCCCACTTAGCACAGTGAGACAACACCCCTTAGGTTGGGTCCATCACCAGTTTTATGGAGATGGGGAGATGGAGGAAGGCAGGGAGGGTTATGGTATGAGGCTGGCTTTGATGGGTCTAGCTGGGTGCTGCTGAGTTTCCCCTGCTTCCCTGGGAGCTGTAACAGGGTGGGGGTAGGGCAATGATAAGATCGTTCAGTGGCTGATGTTGGGAGGGAGTCTAGTTCCCACAAGGATCCCAGAATCCTTTTTATCATTGACTCTTTTCCTCACACTCTGGCTCCTCAGCCACATTGTCATCCTCTTAAAAACACAGATCTGAGCTGGTCACTTTTCCATCACTCTCCCAGGAACCCCTCCCTACTGTCCATAAACATGCCCTGCTTTCTCACGAGTATGCCCTTTCCCTTGGTCTGGAATCTTCTACCCTTCTCTGGGCTTTAGCTTCCATCTGCAAGTGGTAAAAAATATCTGTCTCATGAGGTGGTTGTAGACATTCAGTGAGTTAATACAGGTAGTGCCCTTAGTACAGTCCCTGGCATTTCAAGATAGATGTTTCTGTTCTTAGTTTATTATCATGGCCAACTCCTATGCATCCTGCAAGACCCCGGGTCTCCTGCGCTGTAAAGCCTTCCTTGTCCTACCTATACAAAGCTGTGATTTTCGTTGGTTTTCAGTTTTTGTTTTTTGCTATTTACTTTGGCATTCCATGACATTTACATATTTATTTCTCAGGATATTTTTGCTGTAATTATCAGCCCACATACTGGTCTCTTCCATGAGACAGAGGGACTCTCCCATGAGACAGCAGGCTGTATCCAATTCTATATTTACCGACTACTATAGTCTCAGGCACCTGGCAAGGGCCTCAACAAATTGTTGTTGCCCGAATGAATGGAAGGAGGAAGAAATTAGGAAAACTGTCTGGTGGTCCTGAGACCTGCTCCCAGGGGTGCATACTAAGATGATATTGTTTCAACCTCAAGAGACCCTCCTCCTCTCTTCATCCCCACACCCTTCTCCCTCCTCCTCCTCACACTGTTGGAGAGACATCTCTTTTCCCCACTTCCCTCTAACGTTCTGGATTTGGAAAATAGTGATCGTTTAGGAAAATGGATAATTACCAAGGGCTCGATCACGGAAAACATGGAACTCATGGCGTCCTCGTGAAATGTCAAGGATTTGATTAGAGTAAGCCCAGTCCCTGGTGACCTGAAAAAAATATGATCTATTTTTCCTAGAGGGGGAAGAAGGATCACTCTTTATTTACAAACCAGCCCCGCTAATCCCTTCTGACAATATGGGAAGTCATTCTGCTTGGCTAAAGCATTATTTCAGGGCTCCCTTAAGGAAGAACTATCTTCTACTCAATTAAAGCAAAGCTTGAACTTGCTCTGACCCCGTCATTGCTCGGCCAGGAAAGCAGGCTTGGCTCCTTCCAGCCGGGTGGCTGCCCCGGCTTTGGGATGGCCTCTTTTTCACCAGGACATCTCAGAGGACCGGAAGAGGGCGCTGCGAAATGGAATGGATGGTACATCCCAGCACAGGGGTCCCTCGGGGCCACCTCTGCCCACCCAGTTCCAGCTGGGGGCCCAGCAGTCAAGATTCATCAACAGCGCCCCCCACCCGTGGCCCCACGAGGCCCCCGAAAGGGTTCTAAGCAACTCCCTTGTCTCACAGAACTCAGCTTCCCCTATCCTGTTCTATGTAGGTCAGCAACTCCAACTCAGAACCTGTCTGCCAAGTCCGGCCTCCGTCTGCAGGAACGAGCCCTGTCGTTGTTTAGTGGAGACCAAGCAGACCAAGATACATGATCTCACTGGAAAAGCACACATTTGGAGAATCTCACCTCCTCCTCTCCCAAGGTCCAGCAACTCCTGGGGAATCTGGAGGGAGAGGGCTTGGCTAGGCTGACTACTATAGGAAGGGGTACATTAGCTGAAATCTTCTGCAGGGGGAGGTGTAATTTTCTTTCTGCTCTTCTCAATTACAAAATAATAAGATTGCTAAAAATCCAATAGTAGGAATGTCAATATTGGCAGGAACAGCCACAGGAAATTTACTTGTACGATGGGCGCTGGTTAAAGATGGTATGAGCTCTTCTCGGCCTTTATTAATTCTAATTAGGATAACATTTACCGACCTTACAGACTCACAAACAGAGGCTTGTCATCAGGCCAGGAATGGGTCCGAACAATTGCTCTTTTTGCCGAGTCTCTGGCCTTTCCTTTCCCCCAAACATCATCTCTGATTGGGGCTTTTAGCTGGTCGTGAACATCAGCTCTTCAGTTTCTTTGCCGTGTCAGAGGACCAGATGTTTTTTATTTGAGAGCAAATTGACACATTAAATTACACTGTGCAAACATTAAAGCCAGCCGCGGGTAAACAGGCCGAGATTCATTGAATTTTACGGGTCACAATAATGTTTATGTAATTTAACAAATTCCTGCCCCGCTGCTGAGTCTATCCAAGGAGTATTAATTAAAGAAGATGGGACCTCCGCAGAGCCCGCCATCGCCATCCACCGCACCTCTGCCTCTCAGAACTCTCCAG